TAAACAGTGAACTCAAAGAGGAACTGACAGCTGAAGAAACTCCCGAACATTCACGTGCCACACGGAACCCAAATGAAGACAGTGAAACCAAAAACACAACTGATCAAGCTCTGAAGCCCGATGCTGGCGGTATTGACACTCTGGCGTCGGAGGATGCTAGCAGTCCCTCCATTGACGACGCGGCAACCAGTGAGGCGGCTGCCAACACTGCCCGTGTAGGATCCCCAACTGCATCCCTTAACAACACCGATGGAAAAAATGAGGGATTGGGCGACGGTGAGAGTCCCACTCCAAGTCCTTCAGCTGCAGAACCTGAAACTATTACAACGGCCTAACCGACCACTCATGATGTAAGCCACCCAAACAAAAACGGCACCGTAACCTTCACAGGAGAGAAGAATGCTCCAACAACTAACCCTAAGAGTGTAACGGAGGGCAAGGAAACCGCAGACGTTGAGAGTGACAGCAGCACCGCGGTCTCCCACACCATCTCTCCTCTTCTGCGTCTTCTTCTTGTTGTTGTTGCGTGTGCGGCTGCTGCTGTTGCGGTGGTGGCCGCGTGAGAGTGAGTGAGAGAGAGCCATGCACCGCCCGCACACACACTCTTCCTTCTCTCTCTGTGTGTGTGTCCCCTTGCATGGACTCTCGCCCTCACCTCACCCCACGAGGCACACACAATAATGTGCCCATTGTATATATGCATGCACACCCATGCAGGCCCGTTGGTGCTCTCTTTTGCACCACACGCACCGCTGCCGTCCTGCCTGGCTGCATGGGCGGAGCACCGTAACTGTTTTTGTTTTGTTTTTATTGCATTGAGTGGGCGACCTCTCTCTCTCTCCCTGTGTGTGTGTTTTGCTTTACGGGAGCAATGAGAGTGTGTGCGCTGGTCGTCCCACGCTTTTTTTGATTTTGTTTTATTGTTTTCTTGTGTTGTGGTTGGATGCACCCATTCCGCTGGCGGCGTATGTGTGTGTGTGATGATATGAGTAATTTGCGTGTTTGCCATCCGCTTCTTTCTGCCGTTGCTTTTTTAGGCTCTCTTTTGCCGCACAGCTGCTCTGCAAGTGTAGACTTCGACAGACACAAGCACATGCGCAAAATCTCTTTGTTGCGCACGCTGTGGAGTGGCGTTAGTGCTGAGAACGCACGCACAAGATTCCGGCTGTGGCGGCTATTGCGAGGAGGTCATGAGCCCGCAATGCGTGCCGGCGACGTGATACGGATGTTATGTTGGCGGCGTGCAGCAATTGAATGGTGTGGCATTGAGGGTGCCTGGGGCGAGTGTATATCGACTCTCTCCCAACAGCCGTACCTGCCGACGTGGCACAGCCGCTGTGCATCCGTTGACGGGGGATTTTCCGGCTGTGTGGGGTGATGTGCGGGTGTGTTGGAAGAGACAACAGTAATACGACTGGTTGCAGCGCGTGGGTGTTGCGAGGGGCGGTTGTGTTTTTGTGTTTGGGCATCGTTCAGTGTTTGCTGACGCGTGACGAATAACGAAACACGCACCTGCTGCTGCTCGTGGTAGTGGCCGTCGCTGTGTGTTCCCGGTGCAGTGTTCATCCATCTCCTGTTCCGTGTCTCTGTGTGCGTGAGTTGTTGTTGTTGGGAGTGACTGCGGCGGGGATGATGGTGCCACTCACTGTGCATGGGTGGCGGTGTTTACTGTTTCATCCTCTTTTATTAGCCTGTTTTCTCTCTATTTCTCTTTCAATCACACACGAAGAAGGAAAACAAGCGCTAAACGCTACTGTGAAATTCGAAGACACTGAAAGGACCAACAGCACGCACACACACACACACTTATTGATACGCTCTCACGTGTTGCTGCAGTCATGGCACCCCGCACACACAACCGTCGCCGCGTGACCGGATCCAGCGGAAGGAGGAGGGAAGGAGGAGAGAGTGAGCCGCAGAGGCCCAACATATCCCGGCATCACTTCTACTCTGCGCTGCTGTTCCTCTTTTTGGTGGTGTGCTGCGGCACTGGAGGGGCTGCATCCAGTGAGGTGACGGCGCCAGGTTCGGGAAATGCAAGGACGTATTTTGATTGGAGAGATGCGAAAGATGGGGAAACAGTGAGTTCGCTCCGTGTCCCCAGTCTTGTTGAGATGAACGGTGATGTGTTTGCCGTTGCCGAGGCGCAGTGCACGAGAAAAAAAGATACTGTTGAAGGCAGTTTTACTGGGATTGCCTCGGAACTCCTGACGTTGACTGGTGAACAAAAAAAAGAGTTGGATAAAACTAAACTGAAGACACAAGTACTGGAGGAATGTCCTTTTGAAGGTGGCAATTGTCCCTCCCAAACCGCTGCTAAGGAACGTGGTTCCCAAAGCGAAACGAAAGTACATGTGAGCCGGCCAACAACGGTTGTGGATGGAAGTGATATTTACATGCTTGCTGGGAACTACAGCAATAAAGGCGTCTCTGATGATCAGGCAGGTGACTGGGGACTTTTGCTGGTGAGTGGGAACGTCAGTACTGTTGACAGTAAAAAAAGAATTTATTGGAATGATACTTACGGTCTCCCGTGGAGTTATAAAGTCAAACAACACGAATCCTTAACGCAGCTGACTAACGGCGGTGGATCGGGTATTAAGATGAATGACGGCACGCTTGTGTTCCCTGTGGAGGCCACGAAGAAGGCAAATAATAAGGAGGATGAAGTAAAGACAACGACCGTTTCGCTAATCATTCACTCCTTGAAGGATATTGCGAGTTGGACACTGTCGAAGGGGATGTCTGACGGTGGCTGCAGTGATCCCTCCGTTGTGGAGTGGGAGAAGGACAAAAAACTCATGATGATGACTGCGTGTGATGATGGCCGCCGCAGGGTGTACGAGTCCGGTAACAAGGGGGATTCGTGGACGGAGGCAATTGGGACACTCTCGCGCGTGTGGGGCAACCCAAAGGAACGGATGAAACGTGTTGGGAGCGGGTTCATCACAGCGAATTTTGACGGTGTAGATAAGAAAAAAGTGATGCTTGTTACTCTGCCGGTGTATTGTAAGACTGAGAATGAAAACAATCGAAAAGGAAATGAAAAGGGCGTACTCCATCTTTGGTTGACGGACAGTACGCACATTTCTGATATTGGGCCGGTATCCGGAGAGGAAGAAGACGTTACCGCCAGCTCCCTGTTGTACAAAAGTGGTAAAAGTGGTGAAAATAAAAAGGAGGAGTTGATTGCACTGTACGAGAAGAAGAAGGGCGTTGAGGAAACATCATCCGGTATGGCCTCTGTGCTTCTGACTGCGCAGCTGCAGCGAGTTAAGAAGGTGCTGGCGACATGGAAGAAAGTGGACGAACGTGTTTCCAAGCTTTGTCCCACTGAGAGTGTTGGGAGGGATGCCTCAACTGGCACTGCATGCACTACTGATGTTAAGATCACGGATGGGCTGGTTGGCTTCTTGTCCGACAACTTCTCTGATAACACATGGAGGGACGAGTACCTCGGGGTGAACGCCACAGTGAAGGGGAATGATGGGGCAACAAAGACTTCCGATGGTGTGACGTTCACGTGGCGTAGCGCAGGGGCGGAGTGGCCTGTTGGCAAGCAAGGGGAGAATCAGCTGTACCACTTTGCGAACTACAACTTCACTCTTGTGGCGACGGTGTCCATCGACGGTGAGCCGACGGAGGGTAATATTCCATTGTTGGGTGTGAAGATGGCTGGCGATGAAAAAGAAAAAAAACTTATGGAGTTGTCATACGACAACGAAAAGAAGTGGCAGCTGCTGTGCGGCGGCGCACCGATTTCTGAGGAGCTCAGCAGCACTTTGGGGAAAAAGAGAACAGATCACGTGGTGCTTTTGATACGGAACGGCAGCCATGGCACCGCTTACGTCGATGGTCAGCGTGTGGGTGAGGATGCACAATGTCAATTGGATAATGCGGATTCGAAAGGGATCTCCCACTTCTACATTGGAGGGGATGGAGACAAGACACGGAACCAAGGAGACGTGTCTGTGACCGTGACGAACGTCCTGCTGTACAACCGCCCGTTGAGTTCCGAAGAGATTGGCGCCCTCAACCCGAATAAAGCTCCCACTACACCTCAGGTGCCTGAAAATGCCCAAGGAACCCTGTCACAGTCCTCTCCTGACGGGCAACCACCGCCGGATCTTAAATTGTTGAATGGAAATGAGGGTGTGGGCGGTGGCAGCACGTCCACATCAGCACCGTCCACTGTAACGACTTCCTTAGGAAAAGAGCAATCCACAATCCAGCTGTCGTCAGAAACATCTCCCGGTGGAACTAAAACTGTGGATGGCGGTTCTTCATCCAATGGTGACCAAACGGTGGAAGCAGAAGCTGGAGATACGGTGCCGGGAGATAGACCACCCCAAGCTCCTGCGGGCACTCCCGCCACAGCAGATGCAAACACTCCTACCGCTACTGGCAAGAGGAAAGTTGACCCCGCAGTGACAACTGGGGTGAGCGCGAGCTCTGGCGGGAATGAGGAGACGGCGGGAGGAGGGGATGCGCAGAAGGAAGAGGTGCAGTCACAGGACGGGGAATTAAATGCTACGGCACTCAACAGCAGCCTCGGAAATGTGTCGCAGGGGAATAACACCGATTCCGGCACTGTGAGTGAACGCAGGATGCTGCCATCGCTGCTGCTTCTGTTGGGACTGTGGGGGTTTGCGGCTCTGTGAGGCGTGACTGGCTGCCGCGTGGAACACTTGCGCCCTCCCCAGCACAGAATTACCCCATGGGAACAAATTTCTCTTATAAAACCTTTAATTTATTTTTCCGTATTTTAAATTAATTTTTTTGTTTGCTACTTTTTTTTTGTTCTTTTATGTGTTTTTAATCCTTTTATCTTTCATCCCCCATTCTTTTTTTCCTTTTTGCTTTTGGGGGCAATCACTATGGACTTTTCTTCTTTTCTACTCTTCCCTCTTTTAATTGTTTGTTGCTGCACTCTTCCTGTGAGGGGTGCCGTGTGTTTCCCGCCCAACTGCTCCACTCGCAAACCCACCGACACGCTCATGACGACGGCCCTGTGCGCCTCGCCTGCTGCACGCATGAGGAGGGGCCGCGACGAACGGCGCGCTGAGGGAGGGGTGAAGTGTGGGCGTGCGACGAGGGCCTGTGGGGCGGAGCACACATTTCTTTCCCTCTTGCTTTGTTTTCTTGCGGCCAGGGCTGGCAGACACCCGCAGCGCCACACCCTGCCGCCGTGTTTTTAAGATTTTTTGTTTTTTGCTTTTCGTGTTCATTTCACGCGCTGGCAGTCCCGTCAGCATTTCTCTCCCCTCCGATGATTTTTTTTTATTTTGCTGCGCTCACTCTCCCGATGGAGTGACGCGACTCCCGTCATGTCTGCGTGCTTCTCTCAGTCCCACACACACGAGTGACTGTGCTCTGCGGGCCGCACTCACACGCCGATGAGAGGGCTGAGGGGAGCAGCAACACGCAGATAACCCCATGAAATACAAACGATGTGCGGACACATGGAGGGTCGGACGGTTGAAACAAACGCAACCATCTTTTCAATTTTCTTCCGGGCAAAATATATACGGACAGTTTGGTGTGGCCACACGGCAGCCAGGCGATTTCTAAATTTGTGTGGAACAGTAATGGACGATTTCTTTTTTATTTATAATTATTTTGTGTGATGGGGTTTGTATAAGACGAAGGGGAACGTTTTTTTTTGTTTTAAAAATAAATCATGTGTGGATTGCCGCTTCTTGGGCTGCAGTGCAGTCATGAGTTTGAGCGGTCTTCTTGTTGCTGCTTTCGCCATGCGTCTTCGCTGTACATTTTTGTGCGTCTCTCCACACACTCTGCTCCCTCTTTTCTACTTCTTTGCTTTGTGTTTCTGCAGGCACACACAACCACACACACAAGATGCACATTGCAGTGGATTTGAATGCTCCTTTTGTAGTGCATGCTGGCAGTTGCGCGTGGCGGCTGTGCTGCATTTCCGTGTGCGTGACGGCTGCTGGGAGTGCTGGACATGTATCTGATGATGCGGATGCGGTGGTTGTGCCGGTGGATGTGTCGTGTGCTCCGAGTGACGGCAGCCTGAGCTATCGTGTGTGTGTGGATGTGTGTGGGCGTGGAAGAAGTGTTTCGCAGCCAGTGCTGAGGCTCAGTATGAGAATTACACTTTCAGTGGCTTTGGTGTGCGCATGCATGGCAGGAATGGTGAGCTGGGTGCTGTGTGCCATGTGGCCAGTGCGGTGCACACATGTCGCAACTGTGCTGTCAGCTGTGCAAGGAAAGAGGAAGGGGCCACCGTTGCCTTCACGATGAATGTGACGACACATAAATGCGCCGGCCCTTATGAATTGTGGTGGCGTCAATTTTTCCCGATGGAACCATCCATCCGCCTGCACGGAGCGGCGATGCTGACCGGACAGGTATCCGTCAGTTGCCGCCGCCCCGTGAAGGGAAGGATGACACAAAATCTGGTGGGACAACTGCGCCGCCAGTGAATGCTGAGCCGTCACGTCAGAACGAGGATTGGCGACAGTCTGCGGCGGCTGACGCTCCCAACACCGTCGATCCGAGTCCCGCATCCAACACGGCGACCAACATTTACGAGACGAAGCCTGAGTTCGCCTTTGTTCGGAACACAAAAGTGGATCCGACACCACCCGAAAGAAGGCCCACGCTCGTCACGGAGCCGAAGGAGGATCCCGTTGATGATGCGATGAGTGGTTCAATAAATGTTGAG